TCGCACTGATGTTTCTGCCTCAGAGGTGCTTATTCAGAACTATGAGCCTGCAATTTAAGCTTGCTGAAACCAGGGGGCGACTGTGCATGATTTCCTGTGGTTCTCTACTCAAGCCTTCCAGATACTAAATAGTATCTTAACTTGGTAGTACAATTATCTTCAAAGTGTTGCTAAACTCTCTAGATTTTGGGTGTCTTGGTGTCAAAGATGTGACTGCAGTTTTTTTCAATTTAGGAAGGCATTTTTATTACAACTCTCTTCTTTACCTCGGCTTCTAGAGAACCCACCTGCACACACACACTCATGCACATGTACTTTAAGTATGAAGTACTTGAAGTAGTTTTCCCATGATCATAGAGCTAGGACAAGGGCAAGATTGAGAATTATCCCCAGTATATACCAATTCCATTAAAGAACTTCGTTCCATCTGGGTTTTGTTTTGGTTTTGTTTTTACAGAAGGAAAAATGAAGAAATGTTTTCACTAACCCTTTGTCTCTGGTGCTTCCCTATCTCTGAGTCAAATTCCATAGCAATTTTACTTGACATTTTATCCCCTTGAAGGTAGACTGGCCCTTTCCTTTCCTTATCAGGCTGCTGACCACTGGGCTGAGTGGCATCTATGTTTCTTGTTTGTTTGTTTAATTTAAATTATTTATTTATTTTACTTTACAACATTGTATTGGTTTTGCCATACATTGTCTTGAATCCGCCATGGGTGTACATGTGTTCCCCATCCTGAACCCCCCTCCCACCTCCCTCCCCATCCCATCCCTCTGGGTCATCCCAGTGCACCAGCCCCAAGCGCCCTGTATGATGCATCGAACCTGGACTGGCAATTTGTTTCACCTATGATAATTTACATGTTTCAATGCCATTCTCCCATATCATCCCACCCTCGCCCTCTCCCACAGAGTCCAAAAGACTATTCAATACATCTGTGTCTCTCTTGCTGTCTCACATACAGGGTTATCGTTACCATCTTTCTAAATTCCACATATATATGTGTTAGTATACTGTATTGGTGTTTTTCTTTCTGGCTTACTTCACTCTGTATAGGCTCCAATTTCATCCATCTCATTAGAACTGATTCAAATGAATTCTTTTTAATGGCTGAGTAATATTCCATGGTGTATATGTACCACAGCTTCCTCATCCATTAATCTGCTGATGGACATCTAGGTTGCTTCCATGCCCTGGCTATTATAAACAGTGCTGCGATGAACATTGGGGTTCTCGTGTCTCTTTCAGTTCTGGTTTCCTCAGTGTGTATGCCCAGCAGCGGGATTGCTGGGTCATATGGCAGTTCTATTTCCAGCTTTATAAGGAATCTCCACACTGTTTTCCATAGCGGCTGTACTAATTTGCATTCCCACCAACAGTGTAAGAGGGTTTCCTTTTCTCCACACCCTCTCCAGCATTTATTGCTTGTAGACTTTTGGATAGCAGCCATTCTGACTGGTGTGTAGTGGGACCTCATTGTGGTTTTGATTTGCATTTCTCTGATAATGAGTGATGTTGAGCATCTTTTCATGTTTGTTAGCCATCTGTATGTCTTCTTTGGAGAAATGTCTGTTTAGTTCTTTGGCTCACATTTTGATTGGGTCTCTTATTTTTCAGGAATTGAGTTGCAGGAGTTGCTTATATATTTTTGAGATTAATTCTTTGTCTGTTGCTTCATTTGCTATTATTTTCTCACATTCTGAAGGTTGTCTTTTCACTTTGCTTATAGTTTCCTGTATTGTTGAGTGGCATCTATGTTGTACATCATTGACTTCTTAGTTGATTTCCCTTAGTGGTAGGTTTTAATCTACCATAGACAAGATTTTCTTTACAATAAAGTAGAATATATGACCTGATAATGTGAAAAATCAACTTCAACTCATTAATCAGAGAATATACAGGAGTAGGACACATTTTTATTAAAATGATATTGACTCCTGAGGTCAGTGCATTTCCTCAGACATACCTCATCTTTCTCTAGTCTTTTTGTTGTTACACTGACATCTCGTCTTTGGCAAGTTTGATCTTTGGTCCCTACAATTTAGCTACATGGCTACCAGGTGGAAGGAGTGTCATGAGTCATGGTGGATTTCCTCAGAAAGGAATAATGCTGACTTTCTTCCCTAGACCTACACCAGAAGTGTTTAAGTTTTTTACTGAAAAGGAGAAAAAAATGAAACTCCAAGCTATGAAGCCATTAAAATAGCTTAAGGATGGTACTGAGAACAAAATTATCTTGAATAAAATAAATTCCTTAAGATATCTATAAGCTTCTGTCCTCTCTCATTCTTGTAATAGGAATACCAGCCTCATCCTGAGCAGTCTTCCGTCCAGTGCCTTTTCTACCTGGACACACTAAGTTTGTTTTTTTTAAGTGACCTGTTTCCTAGCCACAATTTTAATCTCTCTCTCTCTCTTCACATAATCTTGTCTTTTCTTGCTTTTTTAAAAAGGAAATTTCTGGACTTTTCAATTTCTAGGTTTTCCTTTGGTATCCCAGGACAAAGTTGCAAAAAACAGAAAAGAGGGGCCCAACTCATGTTAGCATATTGAAAGATCAAATCCAGTATCGATCTTTTACCAATTAAAAATGGAGTACTTCAAACTTTTCCTCTGTCTTCTAGTGGGAACTGGAGGTGACTTGCATAAAAATATCTTTAAAATATAATAATATCTAAAAATAAATTAAAAAAATAAAAATTTAGTAATATCTAGCACTTACTATATACCAGGCACTGTTTCTAAGTGATATGCATATCATATGTATATATTTATATATAAAATGTATATAAATGTAGAGTGTGTGTATGTATATATACATATATATCTCATTTATTTGTGTGTGTATACATAAAGACATAACACACACACATATACACACACACATATCAATTTATTGATAATCTTTAAAACTCTGTAGGGATAACAACTATTACTATTCTCATTTCACTGTCAAGGAAAATTGAGGTGTAAAGAGGGTACATTACTTGCCCAAGGTTATAGAGGTAATATGTGGTAGAACTGGGTGTGTTTTCTTTCTTGCCTTTCTTTTTTTTTCTTTCGCTCTGTCTCTCCCTCCCTCCCTTTCTTTCTTTCTTCCTTCATTATTTAATTTTTTAATTAATGTATTGTTGATTTAGAAGTTCTTAACTGCTATGCTTTATTGCCTCTCTATATAGCAATTTTTCAGAGATTCCATTATCTCATACCCAAGGACTTCAGCACAGTTGGAAAATGGTTTTGCTCAAGGAAAAATAGCAGCCAGAAAGTCTGAAGTAACTTTAAGTTGTAGTGACCAATATCCTGAACTTTCCGATTTCATACTGATTTGAAATAGATACATTCATACCTATAGGATAATGTACCTGAGCTTAAATAGTCGGAAAACTTGTGTTTTATAACAGAAAGCTTATTTGTAAAAAAAAAAAAATAGTAAATTGAACTAAACCAGACACAAGCTGCTAAATGACAGAATCACTGACTAATAATTTGCAATAGGCTTATTAATAATGCTATCTGTTTATTTAAAGCATTGATAATAAGTAAATAATTGATTTTTCATAATATTTGAAGTGAGCAGGTCAAACCTTTTTCTTCCCATTTTGTAGATTAGGAAACTGAGGCTCAGAGAAGTTCTTACCTGTCCAAAAAGAACACTCCCCTTTTATTTGTTACCTCCAGGGCTTCTTAATCTTAGGAACTCAACCTCTTCTGTCATACTTAAGGCCTTTCCTCTCTTAAGGACAAGAATAACTTGTCAAAAGTCTGAAGATTATTTTTGTCTCTCTTTATTGTCTCTTTTCTAACCACTTGTTACAAAGGCCACACCATGGTTTACCATACTGAGAACCAGCAAGATGAAATAATATTCTTAAGATGGATATTTATCCATGTTTTTAACATGGAAAACTTACAGAATGTTAGAACTGTAAGTTAACTATTTTATTTTATGCTTTCCTCAGCCTATGTTATACATGAAGTCTGACAAGCAAAGGTGATATACTCAAAGACACCACAGGTTATGGGAAGAACAGCAGTCACAATCTGCATCTTCTGGCTCCTTCTATCAATTTTTTCTCTCTACTGGCTTTTCTCCTGGTAGAGTCATGAGCTTATCTTTTCTGCTAACCAGGGGAAGGATCCTTGTTTCTAAGCAAACATCAGACATGTCTTTCCCTCCACCATTCATGAAAATGCTCAATGAGAGCACTTAAAAGTGGAGCACTCTGGAAGTCCACCTGTTTTCAGTATGAGGAAGAGCTATCAATAAATGAATTTTTAGTATTTCAATTCAACTCCTCATAATTTCCAGTACTTATTCCATTCAAAACACTACACTTAGCTCTTTTAAAGTTGTCTGACCAGTAATATCATCCTGACTGCATTTCAGCATCTTGAATATCATGAGGGAAATGTCTTAGATTGAAATTAAGATAAGCTATACCTCTTTAGCAGTCAACTTTCTAACCAACAAAGCAGTCCTTAGAAGAAAAAATAGTCTAGCCTAGCACATGTTTTCTTAATTAATCTTCACTTGGTTCTTAGTGAACATCCCATTCTTTCTTGTATATTTGTAAAATCATGATACATCTCTGGGAATCAGCCTCTAGCTATCTGCGGGAAGTATGCAGAGTCCTCCTTTATGAAAGATGAAATAGAATTTGTCCATCATCAGTTTCCTGTTCTTCCCACTCTCTCAAAAATGAGTGCGCTTCCTGCTCTAAGACCAGTTTTCCAGAACCACTAGAAAGTAAGGCAGAGGGTAATTCCTGTCCTTAGGGAATGCCTGTACTAGTGGAGTAAACTTAGCTGAGATGGATAGTGAATATAAATACAGAGATGCAAACTGACCCATAGAGTGCTGATTAGAAGGACAGTCTGATATTGAACTGAGTAGTTAAGGGTAGGTTGGATGACCTGAGTTCCACACTCTTGCCCTTAACCCCAGCCCTCCACTCCATGTGCCCTGAGTAGACTCTGCTCTCTCTATCCCCCACAGCTATGGACATGGATGGAAGACCTTCAGAAGGAGATGCTGGAGGATGTCTGTGCAGACTCTGTGGATGCGGTCCAGGAACTGATCAAGCAGTTCCAGCAGCAGCAGACCGCCACTCTGGATGCCACACTTAATGTCATCAAGGAAGGCGAAGACCTTATCCAGCAACTCAGGTCAGCGCCTCCCTCCCTGGGGGAGCCCAGCGAGGCCAGGTCAGCATGGGCGGTGCTTTCCAGTGGGAAATGCCTTGGACTAGACACGAGATAAGTCATCATGTCCGTCTTGGCTCAGCTGCAGCCAGCTTTGTGGTCTTGTGTGAGCTTCAGTTTCTCCATCTGTCAGATATAAAAATGCCTGCACCATACCCAGCTTGAATTTAGAATGAATTAGTCAGTGGAAAAGCTCTTATGTTTCACAGAATTATGTATCATTGAAGATGTTATTCAGTGATCTATAAGTAATATAAATACAATAAAAATTTAGCAATTTTCAATAGAAAATAAATAGCATCTTCATAAAGAATGATGGCATATTTGATCATGTGAAGAAATAGCCATTATGGAACATAGTGTTATTTGGCATCTGGTCGTGGGCTAATTCTGAATTCCAGTGCTCCAGTCAGTAATATGTGACCCCAAATGATTGCCTTTGGCCTCATGCAAACGTAGAGAGTGTGTGATATGTCCTACTGTGCTTTCCACTTACCCACATATGACTTTTCTACCATTCCTTGGTACCCAGAAAATAAAACTCCTTCTCTATTGCCCTAAACAAATATAGCTAAGAATGAATCTTAGAAAATCCTGTCTGACACCTTATATTCATTTATAATAATCCACCCCATTGCCTCCTTTCCATTTGCATCAATATCTCGTTTCCTGTCGCTGTCAAGGGCATCAGCTCCTCAGATAAAGTGTCACGAGGCCTTGAGCAAGCCCTCAGCAACGGGCCGTGTGCCCAGGTGATATGTAAATAGGATTTGATGGCACTAATGATGTCTGCCTGCGGGGACTTGTTCCTATCCCCAGATCACTGAGTGCTGGGACCTCTGCCAGGTCCAGATAGTAATAATATCATCAACAAGACCAGGACAATCCTGAGGCCAGAGGGAATTTCTTCAGTTGGAGAGGCTTCCTCCCGCCCCCCACCCCCACCCCCAAACCAGCTGTCTGATTAGATAAACAATAAGAACTTACATAGCCCTGGCATGTTTTTCTGTTGGATTGATCATTTCTATTCCAAACATTCACACACCATGTTCTGAGTCCTCCTATTGCATACTAACAAGACAGCCTCTTTCCTTTCTTCCCCTGGTTCATCTTCATGAATGTATAATACATGACAGTTTTGTCTGCCTACCTAGAAAACTCCACTGTTGTTTGCTTCTGAGGAAAATTCCAAGTAATGAGCAATCACTTAACCTCTCTAGGTCTCAGCTGTTTCATCTGTGTGATTTAAGGGGTTCACTCTAGGAGCTTGTCAACTCTAGAATTATGTAGTGGCTTTTGTGTTTTCTCTCCAAACGCTTTCCACGAGCTTGGCTGGCCTCTCTGTGGGGCTGAGTCTGTGGCAGATACCCTGCCCACCTTGCACCATGCTTGAGGGCTGAAGGCTACTCAGTGTTGGTGGAGGCAATGAGATGGCTGATGCCTGTCCTACAAGTTTAAGTTCTATGGATTTCGGAGAGGACCACAGGCGTGTGTCAAGAACCACTGGTGACTGTTCCTTCCTCCACTAGTCTGACACTCGCCTAGGCTCCCTAGTAGACATTGGCAGGATGCCGCACACACATCAGTACACACGTCTTCCCTAGTCCTCATGACTCTTCACGCTGAAGCACCTAAGATGCTTTCACATTCTCTCTTTGATTCTAGTGTATATGACAGTCACAGAGGTGCTATACAAAGGGGCCAGAAATCATCCTTTTCCTTCTGGAAGCTGAGTGATAGAGAAAGACTGAGGGGAGCCATCAGAAATAGTAGTCACATCCTCCCAATAGTACTGTTCTCAGCAAATGCACAATGTATAGTGTTCAGTACTCTTCCTGAGTTCTTTCCATGGTTGGGGGAAGCTGTGCATGGTGGGCTTTCATGCCCAAATAGGCCAAGGTGAGAAGAGAGGGACTATAAGTTCTGTAGGTGACAGAAGGGGAGGCTCTTGGCCTTGTGCTCCCTCCAGTAACAGTGCGAGCTCAGATACTATTGCTTCTGAGACAGACAAAAGGACCCGGTCTTCAGAAAAGCTGCTGATGAGAGCATTCAAAACTGAGGACTTTACCCTCTGACTTCTTAGATTGTGTCAGAAACCAAGATATCATGAGATAATGAATGTGCCTGTTTCTTTCAAGTGTAGGGGCTCTAGCTTACTCACTCAAGGCCCTATAGAATCTAAACTTATTAAATTCCAGTTTTTCTATTGTAATGGTCTCTTTAGAGGTGTTACCACCTCATTTGTCTCAGCAGATCAATGTTTATCTTTCTATTCCCTCTGTGTCATCTCCCCTTCCTGCCTTTGTAGGGACCTTCTCTGCTCGGAAAACCCACCCTTCCCATCTTCTTGGCTCATCCTTTTCTTCTAATGCTCAAATCAGGGCTTATCCTCTATGAAGCCTTTGTTGGTTGTTCAGCCTCTTGTGCCCTAGATTCTACTTTCCCCAACTGGACCTGTGCCCCAGTCAGAACCTGACATATCTTTCAGAATTAACAGTCATTCATACACATTCCTGGTCACAGAGTACGGTCATACATGCCATCTTATTTAACAGCAAACCATGCCATGAGCAGGGCAGGGATTATTAAATCCACTTTACAGGAGGCAACTGAGCCTCAGGGAGGAGATTTCCCAAGGTCACCAGCCCATGTATGTCAGAGCAGGGATTTGAGCCAGGCTTGCAGCCTGAAGACCTCAAGCTCTCCTAAGTATAGCTTGAAGCCTATTAAATAACACCAGCCATAACTTTGGCATAGAATTATAAAGGGGATGAATGGTTTTTGCAACCATGATCTCACTTTACTTTAACCATGATCCTGTGAGTTAAAACTAGGAAGGATTTTTTTCTATATACTTTTAATTTGTTTGCCTTTATGTATCGTGTTATGTGTATTTGTGTGTGTGTATTGAAATATGTGTATATTAGACTACATATATGTTTGGAACCATTCCATTTCATTGATATTTATAGAGCCCCTTTGTATGTGTTATTTCATTTGATTCCTGTCACAGTTCTGTCCGAGGAATAGGACAGCAGCTAATCTCTTAGCTACAGTGCTGTGAACCCCAAAGAGGGTACATGTATCTTTGGTTCACCTATTAGGCAGACGGTGCCAGGCTCACAATAGAAGTCTGATAAACATCTATTGCTTGAGTGACTCTATTGATTCCCATCCCCCTTGCTGAGACAAGGAAGGCTCCCTCTCCACTGTCACTTTTAATATGACAAGCCCCCTCCTTTCTCTCTCCCACTGTGCCACAGGGACTCGGCTGTGTCCAACAACAAGACGCCGCATAGTAGCTCCATCAGCCACATAGAGTCAGTGCTGCAGCAGCTGGATGACGCCCAGGTGCAAATGGAGGAGCTGTTCCACGAACGCAAGATCAAGCTGGACATCTTCCTGCAGCTGCGCATCTTTGAGCAGTACACCATTGAGGTAGATGTGGGAAGGAGGTGTGGGCAGGTGGAAGGCAGGCTGCTTCCTGGCCAAGGGCACTGCCCCAGAGCTAGACTAAGGGGACTGGATGGAATTATGCATCACAAAACATTTTTAGGGATCAGCAAATTCATGTTCACCATGTTGGATTCCTTCCAGTCCCTTTCACCCCACTGCCAAGCAGAGGCCCTCTCCTCAGTCTCTGGGATTAGTCCCCTGGGAAGGGTTTGTTGGTTTGCACTGGACTCTTACTTGGCACTTTGGTTCCTGAAAGACCATGGAGTTCGTCGTTTGGTGACTGAGGTAGACTTGCTAAATCCTATAGCTTCTTGAGTAGGGAGGTATTAAGATTGGGTGGTCTCCTCAGCTGGTGACTGTAGATTAGGGGTTGGATGGACTCACACAGCAGCCAGGAAGTCAGGAGTCAGAGGAAGGAAGACCCAGATCCTTCATTTACTTTCTGCTTATTAAGAAACTAAGCATGTGCAAAGGTCATTTGCTGGTTCATCTCATCAACGCCTCAGCTCATCCGGGGAAGGTCAGACTCTGGTGTTCTGATATATTTGTGTCCTCTTTGTGATGCCTACTAATAATGTCTGTCCCACATAATACCAATCTTTTATTATTTTCTGCTTTAAGCCAGTGACTAAAGCCAGGTCAGTAGGGTTTCTGAGGCGTGAAAAACATCCAACACCTATGGAGCATTGTCCTTTTAAGGGATGGCAAATGGTTAAAAACTATGTCTTCTCTTTGCTCCTGGCTGGTGTGTTGTGAAGGAAAACCAATTCTCTGCCTACCATTCATTAAAACTTTACTTTGCATTCCCGCCATCTCCAAGTTGAGGCTTCTGGGTGTCTGGGATTGATCTTCCCAACAATATCTATGGAAACTTCTGTGGAACTGGTTTGGGAAGGAAAATTATTATTTTTTCAAACGTAAGTGTTAAAGTGTTAGTCACACAGTTGTGTCCGACTCTTTGCAACCCCACGGACTGTAGCTCACCAGACTCTTCTGTCCAAGGAGTTCTCCAGGCATGAATACTACAGTGGGTTGGCATTCCCTCCTCTAGGAAATCTTCCCGACAGAGATTGAACTTGTGTCTCCTGCATTCAGGCAAATTCTTTACCATCTGAGCCATCAGGGAAACCTTTCAAATGTTGAATGCTCCAATATTCCAGTCTCAATGTCATTCCCAACCCCTTACAGGCCAGAAAGCTGTTTTGGCAACAGATGCCCTCTTCTTCAATCCCTAGAGCAATCCTTCCTATTTCTGACTCTCTTTTGACCTTTCTCTTCTTCACCTCTATCCTAACTTCTAGAAGCCACTGCAAATTTTTACTGAAAGATGTCATGTTCTAAAAGGTGCTCTCTGGACAATTTCTGAAATAAAGAGATAAGTCTTTCAATCTAGATCTTGATTATCCTTCCAGCTCATTCCATAACTTCAAGTGACTTTACTTATACTTTATATTTATAATCTATTTTGAATTGGTACTCATAGTGATTTCAGGTTGCAAATGGTATTTAAACATATATTGAAAGAACAATGAAAATGCCAATGGAAAATTAGAGATATTAGTGTGAGGAAAGGAATGAACATGGGGTGACAAAGGTAATAAAAGAAAGAGTGGTAATTGCAAGTGAGAAATAAACAGATGTGATGTTTGGTTGCAGTAGTATTGGCCACAGACATTCCCACCGTCCTTCCTCGACTTCATTTGACCCACTAAGAGTGAATACATCCATGAGGGAATTACATTAGCAGGTGTGGGAATTTGGCTATTGTGTTCATTATTTATTTTCCTATCATTCCAAGTCCACATCAAAAAATGCTTAAGGAGAAGGAAATAACCTAAGGGTTTGGGTGTTTAAGCTTTATTTGGTGAGATGGCTGTGGTTTTGAGGTCTGGGTTGCTGGTTTAGTTCCAGAATGGGTCAGTTAGCTTCACTTCACTACTCGGACTGTAACCCATTGACATCAGCTGGGGGCACCATTAGGATGTTTTTGTCTGCAGTGATTCTGGGAGGATCCATTTCCAATCCAAAGCCTACAGAAAAAAAATATGCTTTGTTTTTTTTTAAATAAAGTTGACTATAGATCAAATAGCTTAAAATTTGATCCTATTTAAATGTTGCAGTAGAAGAACTTGATATTTAAATTTTAGGATTTGCATTTCTCAGCCTTTGTGTTGTATAAAAGTTTCCCCTCCCACCCTGACAACTTGGACAGCTTGGTATGCAGCGAAGCTTAAGCAGGGAAGTAGTAAAGGATCTAATAAAATGAGGGAGATGAAAATAGTGAATAGGTCAAATGAAGAGAATAAGAATTTGGTTCTGCACCCAGGTTTTAGCAGAGGTCTGGTTCCCCATTTCAGGTGTGGCCCAAAACTTGGGGAAATGTTGCTTTTCATCTTAGATAGGAATGAAAATCCTGCCAAACCTATGGAAAATTTCTGCTTTAAGTCAGATTGTCAGAGTTATATTTGAGGGTGATGAGATTATTTCAAATGCCAGCTAGTGTTTCACTGTAGGGGTAAAAGGCAAGCTTCTAGAGATGATTCAGAGTGTGAAACTGAGGGTGGTTTCTGTAATGAGAGATGTGTGGATATAAGCCAGGGCAGAGGCTGTCACTGCAGGACCTACAGCTATGGTTTCCTTCCCTAAAGGAAGGCATCTGATGGACATACTCAGAATTCCTAGGGATTACTGAAGACCAGTGCAGGCCTGCCCCCGACATCTGGGGAGTCTAAGTCAAGACTCCTTAGCCATGTCACTGATGGCTGGCATGAGCTGATTCATTTTAAAATTAAAATAACACATGAGTTGCTGCACTAGTTTCCCTTTACTTAATTATATGGCTCCCGGAGTACCTGGGATGGGGTTGAGGGTACCTGGCTAAGAGTGACCCTTATCCCAAATGTATTAGGCAAAAGTTAAAAAACCAAGACTGCATTCCTGATATGCCTTCTTCATATCCCTGGAGACCAGAAGCAATGATGCACAGATATTCTATAAAGTTTTTTCCCTGTAAGTTCAGCTTACTTCTGTGAAAGATATGTTATAAGAAACAGTTGTAATAGAAAAGTTACTTCACAAAATGCAAATAATCTCTATCTTGTGATGGTAAGAATATGGAAAATTTCTTCTTCTTTTTGATGCTTCCATGCATTTCACCTTTTATACAATTAATTAGAATGATTGGAAAGAAATATTTTATTTCTTTCTAAAGAAAGAAATTTATTTATTTCTAAATATTTCTAAAAATATTTTATTTTTAGAAACAGGAACAAGTCAGTGGTCTCCAAACTCCTTTGATTATACACAATAAACTATTTTTGAACTTTCAGCTCTCTACATATGTACCTTATTAGCTTATAAATTATGTACATATTCTACTGTCACTAATAATCTCAAAATTCACTGTGCCTTTAGGGTGAATGAAGCTTGACTTTTTCATTAGAAGCTGCAGTTCTATATTTCAAATAGTATTCTTGATAATTTTCAAGTATTTTTTGGTTCTGACTTCTTGACAGATCTGATTAGATTGTCATTGTTTCTTTACCCCATCATGTGGCTGCCAAAGAGTTCAGGGTTCTCTTGAGTTTTCATGGTCAGTATTATCTTCAAACTGTAGTTTCTTTGAGGAACCTTGTTAAGCCACATGTCTTTTGTGAAGGGTAGTTTAGTTAAAACTAGATAATGGATAAGTCCATTTAACTGGGCACATGAAAAGAGCAATAATTTGAAATATGCTGAAAGCAGCTGAACAGATGAGCCAGAAAGTCCGTCTGTATTGAGGTACTTCCTATGACCCCTGAGGAGTCCTCCCACCACACCATCTGCCAGTGAGAGTCTGGGATCAGTATACTATGAAATTCCAGGGAAATGTTGTATCTTTTTTTAGTAGTAGTTTGATCAAATATGTGTGCATATAATATATATGTACATACATATGATTATTTATATACTTAGAATTTTTCTATTTGTTATCAGTGGGCAATCTTGGGCACCCCCTGGGATGAGCATACCCATACTGGAGCGTACTAGGAATGACACCAAGAAAGATAACCTATAAGGGACTTTATGAAAAATGGGCCACAATTATAATCTTTCTTTTAAATTTCTGACTCTGTAATTACAATCAAAGTTTTTTCAATGTACCTGAAAATTAATCTGCATAATTAATCAGAGTAAGGAGTGAAATAGCAGCTCTGAATCCATGGGGTTCATATTGATATAGGCTGGGGCCAGTCTGAGGCTAGAGAAAAATGGCCTTCAAGGAGGAAAATTCTTCCTAGAGTAGAGATAGCTGATTGTTATTTACTGGTAGTATCAGCTCTGTGATTGGTTGTATGCAGAGGCGTTTTATGTTTTGTACTTGAGTGAGATTGTTCAGTCAGCCTTTTACCTAACAGAAATTCAACTTGATAAACATTTAGTGAGCACCTACTATGCCTCAAAAATTATTTTGGGCACTGAGGATGAAACTGTCCCTGCTAGTTGGGGGCTAGTTGGGAAGAACCACAGAAACAGAACCATCCCATAGTGATAATGTATGACACAGACAGGCTTACAGGTCGATGAGAACACTGAGGCAAGAATGCTTAGCTTTTCAGACTGCCTGTAGAAGGTTTCCCAGTAAGATGACACCTGGAGGACAGGTAAAAATTGATGGCCAGGGTTTGGCATCTCTGAAGAATGCTATCCAGCCTCTACCAGAATATCTCCAGAGCCCAGAAGCAGAGTTCAGGAGAGGAGGGAACTCAGGATCTCATTATTGTGTTGAACCAAGATCTTCTGCCCTTTCCTCCTGCTTCTGCTCTCTGGAGAAACAGAACAAATCTGCTCCCTCTTTTTGGAAACTTTAAAAATATTTGAAAATGTTCATCATAGGCCTCTTTTCCTTTATCCAGAAAGTGTTGAGATTGTGAAAGTTATTTCTGCAGTCCCCTCTGACTCTAAAACTTCAATAGCTACTTCTCTTCACAGTTAGCCCTTTT